TAATTACATGCTCCACCAATCAGAGCAACGCTTCAGTAAATTTTTCCTCTCTGTAAGACCCCGGACGCCGTTGGACGGGTCAGGAAGTTGTACTATGCTCGGAATGTAGTGTTTATCCTCGACATTGCTGTCACGTTACCAATCTTTCCCGCTTGAAATCTTCCCAAAGTCTTTCCATTTGCGAGAAAGCTATTTTCCCGGTAAACAATAAATCGCACCGCAATTACTAACATTCACACGCTAGCATGCTAGCAGACACAGTAGTGAAATCTTTTATCAATGAACAGACGACCGGCAGAAAATCAAACATCGCGTTACTGATGAACGTTCATGTGTTCCACTGTACATCAAATCTAGGTCAAAAACATTGTAAACTTTTATTTTCTACCGAACTCTGTCCATCAACGATGTCATGTTTCCGAAGAGAACACGTTTCAAAGGTGTCTGGGTAGATTTGCTATTGAACAGAAGTACATCCCTATCAAAGATTGAGCTTCGGTAATCAAGTTAGGTTAGACATTTCGCGCATGTTTTACACACATGCCCTGGGGAGCCTTCTCATACTTTGACCAAATGCAGTAATATAAAGCTGTTAACGATTCTGTAGAAATTACTCTCCCATTACCAACTAATTGCCAAAGCAATAGCTTTTTTTTTGCACTGCAAAAATTTTTGTCTCTTGACAAAAGGCTTCTATGTAGACTTTTCTTCGCAAAATCGAGCACAGTTTTTTTAAGACAGGACTCTACAGAGCAGGGGTGGGTGGGAAGAGCACCCTCTCTATTCGGTTGGGTGAATTTGTTTTGGTTTAATTATTTCATCACAAAGATGGCTATCGCAGCAAAAGACAACGAGAGAAAGAAGATCTTCAACTCTTGTTTGAACCTCTATGATCAGAAATGTTATTTAGTTGAAAGTTCTGCAAGTTTAACGCAATTTTCTTCGTCGAATATTTGAGATAAGGCCCGCGAGTCCAAAAGCCCATGTCCTAAGTTCCATTCCGGCTTGTGGTTAGCCGGTCGAGCGTGCAAGTCTTAAATCACTTTAAAATAACAAGCGGCTTAAAGACTTTTATAACCGTAAGATAACAAGTCGTTCTTCTTTCAAAACGCTAATGCTGAGTGGTTTGGTGAAAGAGTAATGTTTTTACTGAGGACAGGCACAAAAGACATGCAGATCTAAAGAACACAAAGTGAGCTTATTTTCAACGCTCGCGATAGCAAGAATAATAAGCAGATCAGATCAGACTGATATTATCTGGAACTCATTACCATAAATGTTGCAATCCACCGGGATTTAAAACCTTAGATAACGATTTCGTTCTGTTTCACAACTTAATTTGTTATACAAAATATTTTCCTTGTCAAAACTATGTTTCAGAAGCGTTATGCCCGTGATCTCAGTAAACCTTCTCGTGACGAAGGAGGAGTGATGTTTTAAACAACAATCACAGACATTCTTTTATCTGCTCTCTTCGACAGAGGAAATTTGGCCAAAACTGGCTATACAATTAAAAGGCTTACAACAATCTAATAATATTTTGTTCTTCGAAGAGGGCCGGCACCGTAGGAGGGATGGGGTGGGGAGCTTCTGTTAAACAACGTTGCTTCATTACAGTTCCCTTAAAGAATAGATTTTCAAAATGTCAAGGGTCAGCAATAATTAGTCGTAGGCATCTGGTCACACGTTCTTATATATTCTTCATGAGACTGTTCCAGGCGAGAATGGCGGGAAGATGGATGGCTGGATTCTTTTCATACAGTAGTTCGTGGATAGAAAACCGATGAATCCTCCTCAGGTTGACTTTTCCACTCCTCCCCTACTTCTAATCAATTTGTTGGATACAGTAGATGTTGATTATCACTGACTCTATCAAAAAGGCACAGAAATATCTTTAGATCTCTGTAATAATCAATTTTCAAATTTGTAAGTCAAGGAGACTCTTTTCATTCTTCTTATCAGACCATACCTTTGTGGAACATCTGGTTTCTGTCTAAAAAAACAATTTGCCAGTTCTTCGCTTCATTATCATCTCGGTGTTCCACCTTAATTATTCAATTAACTTGAAACTTGCGAGTGAAGAAACGTTACGTAAGGATAAATTTTAATAATTGATAAATCTTACCTTGTTGATCGATCGTTTTTCTACTTCCATTCAAACTATTTTAACGATTTGTAAGAACCATTTACCAATGTGTAATGAACAGTCCTAAACTTTGGAAAAATAAATTTTCCATCCACGCGAAAAAAAAAGCAAGCAGTCTTCAAATCCTGTCGGAAAACGGAAATGGTTTGCTTCATTTCAATTGATGGTATGGAATTTGAAGCCTCTGCGGGATGATTCAGCGAATTTGGTTCAAGTTTTGAACGTTTTCTTTTCCTCTTTTGTGTGAGAGCAATGTGTAATTGTGAAATGTTAACGCATGAAATTTCCTATTAAAACGTTCGTACGTGATGTATCAAAATAGACCATAGTAACCAACTCCTGGGGCATTTCATAAAAATAGCAGCCAGATACAGACATGTGGTATGTCAGAGGGTCAAAGGTTTTTTTTTTCTTTGTTATTAAGAGAGAGAGGAAAAGAAATGCGCTGCTGTAATTAATTTTCCAAAATCATACGTGAGTTTATCATGTTTTTTTTTAATAAACTTCATGTCGTGTAATTAATCGGTTGACGATTTATAGACAGTCAAAATATTTAAGAAAATTTCCTGTCAAACTCTTTTAGCCAGACTTTCACGCTGACAGCTTGAAATTTTTTTTTACGTTTTTATGATTCACCTTCCAAAATGTACCCAAACAGGCCACGTGATGAAAGTGAAAATTAATTCATATGTAGGAGATTTGATGAGTGGTGAATTTACTCTGTGTTCTGAATCAGTTTTTCTGGTCAAGAAAACTCCTTCAGTAATAATCTTTTTTCTCATCTTACCTTATTCCGTTGAGTTATGTTCCCCCTGAGGGCTTCCTCAACAACTTCCTCAGAGGCAATCCGAGTAAACTGTGTGCATGATCAACTACAACCGGTCAATAGGTCATACTGCTGGCTGATATTAAAACGCAATAGAAATGTACGCAAACTTTTGAAAGACTAAAAGTTGCAAATTTCTATAACCATTCCCGTCAATTTCCCACTATCTGTACTAGCACCGACTTGGATAAATGCGGGAAAATGTAGTGGTTTATGTATTCTTCGCTTACACCGTTAAAATAACTTCTCCGGTATAGTCCCTATTTTATGGAAAAGTGTCCTATGGCTTTTAGAAAGAAGCAAAACTTTAAAAGAGAGCCTCGTCTTGATGTGGCGGGAAAACCTTACACGCGCGACGCAAAAGCGAAACTTTAACAGAGAAATATGAATCGTCGATATTGCTTCGCAAGAATTATTTAATGGTAAGTCATCAAACTATAAAGTTTTTTTAGGGTTAGATTTTAATATCAGCCGAACGTGCACATAGACCTAGGATTTGCCGGTTTTTGTTTTTTTTTTTTCGGAAATAGATTTTGTCGAATTGCGCACGGCTGCTGCTCATGACTGCTAACGATTCTATGTGATGACTTTCGTTAAAAACTTCGAATGTACTTTGGATTGTTGGTAGTAGAAGTATAATCTCGAATATCTTATCTTCATTAACCTCGAAGTAAAGGAAAAGGGAAACCAGAACGAACCCCACTATTAAAATTCGCTACCCTGACACAACTGATAAGAAAACAAGCTTCAATGAATGAATGTTCACTAAGGCACCCGGCGAGAAATGTTTTAAACTTGAATATTTTTAAGCAAAACCAGAATGCCAAGTGTTTTCATAGCATATTTTATTTTCTAACTCCCTTACTTTGCCCTAATAAGGCCTCTCACACTTAAATGCAATGCGTTATCAAAGCAATAAGTCAGTCTCTCTTCACCTCACCGTGAGCAATGAGTGTGACGCTTAAACTTAGCTTGTAACATGCGTAAGGCTCCTGAGGTAACTCTTAGGTTGGGTGTTTGCCACTTATTCTCGTTATTCACGAAAGAGTTTACCTTGGTACACAATTGCATAGCTTTTCGGCTGAAGCGTGTACAGTACTCGCTCAGTGATCTTAACAACGTAGTTGATGATTATCCAAGTTCTTCGGCAGAGCAGACCTACGTGCTCCTATTCTGCTACATAAACTATTACTTTCTTATGTTGTATCAATTCATTCATAATTCTTTGTGATTTCGTTTATTCTAATGAAGCCCTACTCGTGCAGATTCCAGAATATATAATGTATAAACAATATAAGATAGCTAAACCGTTTTTAGGACGTTTTCTGTGTGCGTTGACTTTAAAAAAAGGGGTGTCAATACTAATCTATTACATCTCCGCGAAAAACTGAGCAGTATAAGCGTGCAGCCTATTGAGATTCTTTAACTGATAAAAGCTTACAGGAGCTTTTTCTTTTTATTTTAGTTCATTCTCCTCATTTCGATATCTTTCTATCCTCAAAAAAATTAATATTTCACGGTTTTCTTCACCTTGAAGGCTTTTTCTTCCCGTTCTTTTTTTTTACTATATTTTTTCCGACAGTTTTACTGTACAATAGTTAGAGTATCTTCAAGACACGAGTATTAAATATTTACAAAATATTAATCCGGATACTAACAAATTTTATGGGGGTGATTTTCTATTGAGTGTCCAAAGGAATCCGGGATTGTATCAGTTTTGCCTCTCCAACTTCTCAATCAACCAAATGCAAAACTGACAAAAATGTATCTTGCTCACTCGCGTTTTCTCGCTATTCAAGCTTTTTGCTTCTTTTACTTCGAGATCTCATTGGATCCTTGTAAGTTTTTACCCTTCTCCTGATTGGCATTTAGATAACCCTGGTTTTGGATTCGCGACACTCAATTGAAATGTATACTCTGTGATCCTACTTTACTGCAAACACCTATGCTCAAAGTATGGTTAACTGAAAACTGGGACTGGTAAATCGAGTGTGCAGGAACTCAAAATATCGAAAAGGGGTGAATTTTCTAAGCTCCTCTACTGAGAACAACAATAGTAGAGATTAATATGACCACTACAAAAATCCAGAAAAATAATCGATCTAAGACCATAGCAAGATGCCTCCATTCTTCCTGATTCTTCTCGATTTGCCGACGATGCTTCAAACTGTCTACAAGCACCATGACACCTTGTGCAGTTTTGGCACTGTTGCAGCCACCGTCGTTGTTGTGATTTTTCTCTTGGTGAGTGTCCATCTTTGGATATGTGCTTGTGACGGAGTTCGTTGAAGAGGTCATGCAAAACTCTTCGGGGGAGTTTAAAGTGGATTTTGTTGTAGTTCGTGAGCGCGTGTCATGTAGCAGCTTTGTTTTAACGTGGTTGTTGGTACTGCCAAACCTTTTGTCCAAGTCCTTTTTCATCAAAGAGATTCTCTTAAAATCCACCTCCGCCGACAAGTCATAATTGTCCTCTGTAACAGGCTTCTTCACGCCCAAAAACTTTCCGAGCTTGTCGAGGATATATACATTGACCCACCTGGGAACAGGCACTACGGCAGTCCCAGAGTTCCGATGGTGAATGTGCAAGATGTAACATGTGGCGATAAGAGAACTGGCGACCTCTATCATGACTGTGATGTAGAAAATACCCATTACCGGTACGCTCTCAGAATTCCTTGGCAAATTTTCTGCCCCAAGTTGCAGAAACACTGCCATAGCTAACAGGACGGTAATACTTAGAGTTATTCGCTCTCCAGATTCGGGAGGTAGGAAAAAGCCCAGCAGCACCATTGACACGATTATCATGCATGGAACTATCAGATTGAAAATGTAAAATAAAGGCTTCCGTTTGAACACGAACTCGATGGTAACATCGGAAAAAGGGTAATCACAACAAGCGTATGATTGCACGTTACGTTTCTTGGAAGCTCCAAGCAAATCCCATTCCGCGCTTTTTACATATTGCGTGGAATGAAGAGGAGACCTGTCAGCATGAATATCAAGGTCAACCATTTCAAACGTCCAGGAGCCAAATTTCATCGTGCAAGTCTGTTGGTCAAACGGAAAGTAAGTGACATCAATCGGACACGTGCTTCGAAACGAGGCTGGGCTGTACCAGGCACTGGTCCCATCGTGGTCAATGATAACACGAGTCTTGTACTTTTCAAGTCCACCGCTGAACTCACTGTCTGCACTGTAGAGAGAAAATATTGCAATTTCTAAGTTAAATCCTATCTGTATCATAGGTATTGTCCAAGAACTCATCCCTATTTGTTTTCACACGCGGACCTCCGATTTCAAAGTGCAAAAAAGTAAAGTAACCTCTTGAACTTTGGATACCAAAGCAGTTTTTGGGTAACCTATAGATATGCAAATTACACACAGAGAGGTAAATTGGCCAAAATGTACAAATCAATTCACGAAAGAAGCGAGATATAACCCAAACATTCATCCGACATATAATTTCAGATAACTGAAGAAATACTCTGGTATAATTTTACAGTAACTGACCTGTTATATAGAACGATGTCCGGAATCCAAAGCAGACTCGGATCAATACGAACTCGTTTGATACCACCGTATTTGTTCGGATCCCATGTCAAGAGAAGATTTCTCCATTTCTAGACAAGAAAGGTGCAGTACATTAGACTGACTATCAGAGGTAGGTAATGATGATGATGATGAAGTTTATATACACAATTATTAGAAGCTGTTGTTTCGTTTAATAAATAGGCGTTGCCTCGTGTTGACAGATTTATTCGATGACAAGAATCGTGATTGACATTAATTCAATAGATTGATTTAAAAGCGTTAGATTATTATGTTTAAGTCAGTTTTTCAGCAGAATCGAAGTGAGAAAGAAGTTATTTTGTTATCGTTTTTCTGTCTCTAAATCCGCTTACCTGGAGAATCTGCTAACCCGTAAAGTGAGACTGTTGTAACGACCCGCCACAGAAGTAAGTTTATATTGAAGTTTTTGAATTCAGTTACAAGATAAAGACTTGATTTGCGTTTGTTCTAATTGCGAATTATAAATGTATTTCTTTTAGATCGAATAATTATTAAAGCTTGGCTTAATATTATACGGTTTGTGGTGGTCACTTGATCTAATCAGTTCCCAGTAAGGAAACATTACATTCGATTTCTGGGTTGTAACGAAGAACTACGCAATCCTGAGCACATGGCGGAGGAAGCCCTGAAAACTGCCAAAACTGATCGGAGGACTGCCAAAGGAACGCTCACACGCTGTGGAAAGTCCTTAGCGAAGTTAATAGAAGCGAAAAGACCAGAGCAAGAGGTAAGAGATGGTCTACGTAAACTGCAGTTAGCCTTTGACAATCTTGTGGCGAAGCATGAAAATTATTCGCGTTTAATCGAAGATGACACTGAGTTCGAAGTGCAAGAGGGATGGATGGGGAATGCCAAAGAAGACTTTATGTCAATGGAAATGGACGCAAAAATATATTTGGATTCTTTCTTCAGTAAGGAAAAGGCCCCGATGAAAACTAATCATACATCTACAGCATCTAAAACGAAAAATAGTGGTGTTGGTGAGCCGGGAAGTAGTGGAATTCTGAATATGCAAATAGAAGAAGACGCGCTTAGTGTAAGTTCTGGCGATAATGATCATCCAATCAATCCAATTAGCACCCATCAAAGTACAAGTTCCGGTAATGATAATTTCACACCAGACCATGAAGGCACATCCGTTGTTTCCGGACATGAAGTAAACCCCAATGCTACAACCGGCGCCTGTGGTTTTAAGATGGAAAAGCCAAAGATGCCTAAATTTACCGGAGACGTAAGAGATTATGCCATTTTTCGCGCCGATTTTAAGCACGCGATAGAATCGAAATACAGCAAAAGAGATGCAATAACTTTTCTTCGCACATGTCTGCAAGATAAACCATTAGAGTTAATCAAAGGGATAGGTTCGGACTATAAGGCAGCGTGGGATTATTTGGACTCTATTTACGGAGATCCAAGGTTCGTGTCCGACACCATCACGCAAGACATAGTAAAGTTTAGAGCTCTGCAACCAGGAGAAGATGCAAGATTTTGCGACTTAGTCCATTTGGTTAAACGAAGCTTCAACACTCTGAAGGAGGTCGGAAGTCAAAATGACATGGACAACAGTCACATGCTATCTATCATTGAGCAAAAAATGTGTTCGGATGATCGAAAGGTTTGGTCACGAGACTTGGAGCGTCAGGGAGAAAAAGCAACTTTAGAGCGACTGATGAAGTGGATGGACGTAGAGATGAAATCACGTATGCGTGCTACTGCTCCATTGAGATCTAGCAGATCAGTCTATGCCTTGCAAGTCGAAGCTCCCAACCAGAAGTGGTACAAATGCTGGTACTGTAAAAACTCGTCCCATTGGCCAGATACATGCCCTAAATTCGCTGCCCTCGGTATCGACCAACGTATAAAAGTCGCCAAAGAAAACCATGTGTGCTTTAGTTGCATGAAAGCAGCCGGAAGAGAACACCGAGTTGACAACTGTAGGAGACGTAGAAAGTGTACGAAAACCGAGAACGGAAGGGAATGCATGCATTTTCATCACCCGTTGCTTCACAAGAGCACCGCAGTCAAAGTTGGCGTCGCGTCACTCTCCGAGCCACATGAAACTCTTTTGCCGGTGGTAACATGCAAGATTTACGGTCAAAATGGGTTCCAAAAGCAAAGCAACACTCTCCTTGACTCGGGAGCGCAGATCAGCCTAATCCGCGAAGAAACAGCAGCTGCACTGGGACTCAAAGGAAACGACACCGCCGTAACACTTACGAAAGTGGGAGGAGAAGAGGAGACGATCAAGACCAAAGTTTACAAAGTTCCTGTATCATCAATTGACAACACCGAGATGTTCTCAATCAAGGCAATTGGAATTCCGCGCATTAGTGAGGAAGTGTCAGCAGTCCAGCTTAGACCGATCGCCAAGCTTCTTGGACTGGAGAGCGAAAGGATACGCAGAGGCAATGGTCCTGTCGATTTACTAATAGGAATCGACCACGCCCAGATGCATACTGGACAGACCAGGCAAACTGGACAGCTAGTTGCAAGAAGAACACCTCTAGGATGGGTAGTTTTCGGTGGACCGTCAGGAGAAACACAAGTGAATGGTCGCGTCTACCATGTAAGATTTGCTGCACCGGTAGAAATGTCAGATTTTTGGAAGACTGAGGCAATGGGAGTAGAAGTTAAACCGTGTGTTTGTGAGGCTGACAAGCTAACGCAAGCCGAAAGAGAGGAAGCAGAAATCATTTCCAAGTCGTGTGAAAAGGTGGGCAAGCAGTGGATGATACCTTACCCCTGGAAGAAAGACCCCATGCTGTTGCCGGATAATAAGCCATTGGCGATGAAACGGTTGGAAAGTACGGAGAGACGCCTTAAGAAAGACCCAGAAAAAGGAGTGGCTTATGACAAACAGATGGAAGAAATGAAGGAGATGCAGTTCTCAAGAAAGCTGTCCAGAAAAGAAATGGATAATTACAAAGGCCCGGTGCATTACATCCCACACCATGCCGTTATTCGACCTGAGAAGAAGAGCACACCCGTACGAATCGTCTTCAACTCCTCTTCAGTCTATCAAGGTCACGCACTGAATGATTATTGGCTTAAGGGGCCTGATTTGTTGAACAATCTGTTTGGAGTAATCTTGAGGTTTAGAGAAAAAGAAGTAGCAGTGATGGGTGACATATCCAAAATGTATCACCGTATACGCATCCCAGAAGAGGATCAACATGTTCATCGGTTCCTGTGGAGAAACTTGGAAACGGAAAGAGAACCCGATGTGTACGTAAAAACAGTCCTGACGTTTGGTGATAAGCCAGCGCCTGCCATGGCTCAAATTGCGTTAAGAAAAACAGCTGAAGAAAACAAGAAGGACTACCCAGAAGCAGCCGAGGTGCTCACAAAGAATTCCTACATGGATGATATTTGTGGTTCTGTAGACACTGTAGCACAAGCTCAGAAGTTGACAAAAGATCTAGACAAAGTACTCGAGAGTGGAGGGTTTGGCGTGAAGGGCTGGACGTCGAACAAACTTCTAACCAAGACAGAAAATCAGGAAAATGAGTTCAAGATGTTCCAGGAAGAAGTTGAAGAAAAGGTGCTTGGAGTGATTTGGAATTATGTTACAGATGAGTTCAGCTTCAAAGTTAAAGTGGATTTACTGTGCCTGACAGATTATTCAGTAGACCGTAGAGTAAAGATGACCAAGAGAACTCTTCTCAGTCAAGTTGCCCGCTTCTACGATCCCATTGGATTCGCTGCCGCATTCGTCATCAGAGCCAAAATAGGTTTACAAGAACTGTGGCAGATTGGTCTTCACTGGGACGATGAGCTTCCATATGATGTAAAAGATAAGTGGATCCAGCTCTTCAAGGAAATGAAGGAACTTGACCGGATTGGTTTCAAGAGGTGTCTGGTTCCACCCGAAACTCCAGAATTACCAGTACTGTGTGTCTTCTCAGACGCCTCACAAGAAGCATTTGGGGCCTGCGCGTACATCCGCCAGAAAACGAAACAAGGCACCTATGAAGTAAACTTCGTTGCCGCTAAGTCTAGAGTGGCACCCCTAAAGCAACTAACAATTCCACGCCTGGAATTACAAGCAGCCGTTCTCGCCTCCCGCCTCGCGAAAACGATAGTGAAAGAGTGTACGATTCAATTCGCCGATGTCAAATTCTTCACTGACAGCAGCATCACACTTGCCTGGATTCAAAGTCCTTCCCGCAGTTTCAAGCCGTTTGTCTCAGCACGGATCGGGGAGATCCAGAATAACTCGGACCCAAGCCAGTGGAAGCACATTCCCGGTGAAGAAAACGTAGCAGATGATGTCTCGCGAGGATTGCATGTAAAGCAGCTTACGGGTAGATGGATGAACGGCCCGGAATTTCTAAAACTGCCAGAGGAACAATGGCCAGTCCAAACAGCTACACTGCAACAAGAAGGAAATATGGAGTGTCGCCACGTTAATGCTACCACTACAGTCCCGCCTGCAGATGTCGGAAATGTAATCGATGTGGAGAATTTCTCCAGTTGGCGAAAACTGATACGAGTTACCGCGTGGATAAGGCGATTAACAGAGAAGATACGCCTCAGAAGAAACACACTCAGCGGACGAGAAGGACCTCTCATGCCTGATGAGTTGAAGAAGGCTGAGATGTCATGGATCAAAAGTGCTCAAAAGGATTTAAAGAGCCGAATGAAGAATGGAGACTTCAAGACATTAAGCCCATTTATAGACGACAAGGGGATCATCAGGGTCGGAGGAAGGATTGACAAAGCAATCGTGTCCTACGAAGAAAAAAACACCCAGTGCTGCTTCCCAATGAGCACAGAATATCCCTGTTGATTACAAGCCATATGCACAACCATGGGCATCCTGGAGTAGCAACCACGACTGCAAAAATAAGACGAAAATACTGGATCTTGAAGGCGAATAAGCTCAGTAAGGCTGTGAAATTTAAATGTGTTTCTTGTCGAGAAATGGCACACAAGGCAGAGACGCAGTTGATGGCAGACCTGCCAGCTCTCCGTTTAGCACCGCAAACGCCTCCGTTCTACTATTCCTCGTGCGATTACTTTGGTCCATACAATGTGAAGATAGGGCGCAACAAGACAAGAAAGCACTATGGCGTCATCTTCACGTGCTTAAACACAAGAGCCGTCCATCTGGAACTAGCTGTTGACCTATCAACAATGGAATTTATCCAGGTGCTAAGAAGGTTTTCTCTATCCGTGGATACCCGGCAGTGCTATTGAGCGACAATGGGTCACAAATGGTTGGCGCAGAGCGGGAATTGCGCGAAATGGTCGAAGGTTTAGATTCTGACAAACTCCGTGATTTCTGCGCTGAAAGAAGTATCAACTGGCTGTTCACCGCTCCAGCTGCCCCTCATCAGAACGGATGTGCTGAGGCACTCGTCAAAAGTTGTAAGCGTGCTTTGAAGAAGGCAATAGGAGAACAGGTTCTAAGTCCGTTCGAGTTATACACATGTCTGCTAGAAGTTGGAAATCTCGTTAATCAACGCCCGATCGGCCGTGTTCCAAATGACCCGGATGACGGCAAATATTTATGCCCGAACGACATGCTTCTTGGAAGAGCAACACCGGAAGTTCCTCAAGGCCCATTCAAAGACACAAAAACCCGCGACGCCGTGTAGAATTTGTGCAGAAAATTGTGGAGTCATTCTGGAAACGTTGGAGCAGAGACGTACTGCCAGCGCTAGTGATAAGGAAGGCATGGAATACAGAAAGGCGAAACGTTCAAGTCGATGACATTGTAGTCATGGCGGACAACAATGCTATCCGAGGTAAATGGACCATCGGCAGAGTAATCGAGGTGTATCCCGGGACAGATGGCCGAGTCCGTAATGTCAAAGTAAAACACCAGCCGGAGAATACAGCCGCCCAGTCACCAAGATTGCTGTTATATATCCTGCTGAGGGATACGACTAAATAAAATTAGGCTGACTTCAAGAAGGATAAGGACTACGCCCTTATCGGGGCGGAGAATGTTTCGTTTAATAAATAGGCGTTGCCTCGTGTTGACAGATTTATTCGATGACAAGAATCGTGATTGACATTAATTCAATAGATTGATTTAAAAGCGTTAGATTATTATGTTTAAGTCAGTTTTCAGCAGAATCGAAGTGAGAAAGAAGTTATTTTGTTATCGTTTTTCTGTCTCTAAATCCGCTTACCTGGAGAATCTGCTAACCCGTAAAGTGAGACTGTTGTAACGACCCGCCACAGAAGTAAGTTTATATTGAAGTTTTTGAATTCAGTTACAAGATAAAGACTTGATTTGCGTTTGTTCTAATTGCGAATTATAAATGTATTTCTTTTAGATCGAATAATTATTAAAGCTTGGCTTAATATTATACGGTTTGTGGTGGTCACTTGATCTAATCAGTTCCCAGTAAGGAAACAGCTGTGACAAGCTTGGCTTATGCATACCTGTCGCACCCACACGTTTGTAGTAATAATCTGATTTTTATCATCCTAAACAAAGAAAAAAAAAAGAAGTTTAATGCAATGTTCGATGTCATTCGTCTGAAAACAGTACCTCACTTCCTCAGCGGGAATATTTGTGGGGAAATATTAACGTTCCTTGAAGAAATACTCTGGTAAAGTCCAGTGAACTAAAACCCTGCTAAACTTTGAAAAAGCAAAATGAAACTAACTTTATTGACATTGACAGAATTTGTTTGGTTTCACTTACTACATTGACGAGTTGGACCAATTCCAAACCAAACGTGACCATGTACAGACTCTTGTTCTGTTCTGGTATGGGGTGGGCATCTTTGTTGTACCCCTTTAGCAGGTCATTAATTAAATCCTGTTCTGCAGCAGCATTTGAGCCTGTTAAAGTTTTGAAACAATGAGAAATGTTATCCGCATACTAATGTTACAAATCATATAACTAAGACGAACAAACGACGAACCCGATGTCATTCTTCTTCAGCAAATTGGCTCACACGTTGGTCACAGCAAAAATTGTTTGTGCCTTCTACATAGCTTAATCTCGTTTGCGTTTCTTCAGTATAATCTTTTACACTCATCTAACCTCCGGAATATTCTTTTTAGGTCCAAGAAAGTGTAATTCTGAGGGGAAAATTATGCAAGCGTAAATTTCCATTTGCAGTCCTTGCATATAAAGTTGTGTCAGATATCATGAAGTGTCTTGTCGTTGTTCACGACATTAGTTACTCTAAGAGATGACTTAAGCGTCTCTTTTTTTATTCAAATGAGGGGAAATTTTTCTTTTCACTCTTTTTTAGCTTTAAGATTGAGAGAGAGATCTTTCCTTCCTTAAAAGAGTAGTTTGATTTTCTCTCTTGTGAGTTAACATATTCATTCTTGTAAGATCTGTGGCTTCGACGATTTCTTGCAACTTGAATGGTCAGAGCGACAGGAAGGGTTTCGCCGGTTGAATATGAAGTTTCTAGCATACCATTGAAACAATTTTTATTGCAATAATTTATGGATCTCTTGACAACCCTTATTCATAAATCATTGGAAGTGACAGCAACTAAGTGAAACAATTCAAACCATAGATTCCAGCTGTGTAACAATCATTTACAACAGCGCTCTTGCAACAAAGCTCTCTACATGGGGCTTATAGGTTATTAAGCCTTCCCTGATATCAACCACCTTTTCCAGCTTACTGAAAATTTCTATCCTAGTTTAAAGTTATCAAGCTGTTTTCTTTTGTTATAACTTGTATTTGCTTTTTTTCTAATTGTGACGAACGTTTACTCATGAAATCGCGACTTTTATGCTCTAGTGGCCGAGGTGACATCCCCTAAGGCTGATTATGAGCGATTAAATCCTCTGAAAACATCTTTAAATTTTATAACATCAGCCAAAACGCCAGGTATTTAGTCTCACAAAGACCTTTTAAAGTAGTCGATAGTGGCATCGGTAAAAGCATCTCGCGGATATCGGGATATTTCAAGGTCGAAGGTTTGAAATCCTCATGCAGACTATTGGCCTTATTTGTTTACTTTTTGAATATATATAATAGGTTAAAGTATAGTTTAGAACTATTGAAATTTGTTATTCAATTCCGCATCATGATATGTAAAGGAAAATTTAGATAAACAAACGCCACAACAGATTTACAAACTGGGTCCACGGAGTATTCAGAAATCAAAGGACAGGCTTCAGTTATTCAGTTCAAGTATTGGTGTGTAGGAGCCGGTTTGAAAAACGCACTTTTCGCGTTGAAGTTTGAGGATCTAATTCAAAATTTCGTTTCCGACAATTAATACATATTTTCATTGAAGAGTGTCTCCGAATGTTTTTATCATGATATTAGGGGGCTGGAGGGTCTAGAGCTATTGAATGTCAGAATAATGTAAAGTTCTCTGGTTCCTTATTAAATCGTGCAATTGCTTGTACTTAATACTGCAATAGAACTCATCGACGAGCGCACAAACCCTTCTCGTGCTAATCAGATCAATCGGTCGTCCACCATTGTTATCCGGCTGGATCAAAAGATTAGTGACACCAGGTTTTAGTCTGCATGGGCGGCTTTATGAGGAATACCTCTGTGCCAATTCAGTTCACAAATAAAGGTGATGAGTTGTATTGTATTTACGTAATCCTTGGGTAAATAAATTGTCACTGGTCTCCTTCAAAAAGTTAGAGACGCTCATCAGAGCATCCATTACCTCTTGTACAGGTCGGTCGGGTAATAATTCAATCAACTGGCACCCTTCGGGCCGGAGACAGGAGAATCTACTTGCTCACTTAAACAGATTGCGAACAAACTGTCGTTATATATACAAAGAACTTGAGTTACTGAGTGAATCTTTTTGGTTAATTGTGTTTGTCTTTTGGGATGTAATAAATTGCAAAGCTGCTACACTAACTGATCAACGTTGTTAACAATAGGTAATATAACACATTGGGGAAAATACCTGCTTTCTTTTTTTTGATAAAGATGAAATATCAATGTGTTTAACTCAAAGCATGTGCGCCCCCATGTCAAAATAACAGGATGTTTATGTGAATAACAAAGCTATTACGTATACCAACCTTCTGTGCGACATTTAGTTACTATCCAAATCATCACGATGCACTTTGCCAAAAACGCCATATGACTGGATACCAAAAGCGGGCGATTCCACTATAAAATGGACAGAGATGCTTTTAAGTACAACTTGTCGGTAAAAGACGTAAAACGATGATACGAGATCTCCTAGATAATAGTGGTTGATAACAACTACCTACCTCTTGCTGCGTAGGATTTTTGTGTAGGGACACCGAGAATTATTGAATATTCAACAGCGTTTAATTGCAAAGACGGTCAAAAAAGGCTATGAGAAAATAAAAAAGAACAATTGGACAAAAAGAACAATATCTACTGATAAGAGGATGCACGATGGGTGACCTATTACCCTCTTCTAATTATATTACACTTCTCTCTATTTGGTTAAGTGAATTGTCCCCTTAGGCATATGGCCCATATTTAAACGTAATAAAGTCATAGAAATAGTTTGATGATAAAAATGGCCCAAGAAAGTGAATAAATATTGAAAAAGGGGAAAAGGGCCTGGTGCACGGGTTGGCTATTTAAAAAAGGAAAGCATTTAAAAAAAAATTAGTTGTTTACGATTTAGAATTCCATTTGGTATTGAGTTGGTTTGTTGCCCATGTAGTCGAGCCGGCTAAATTAATATACTCTTGATTATGTGTTGAAAACAGTAATTCATACAAATTACAAATCAGTTAACACGGTAACCTAATTAAAACCTAATTTATCGCAGATGTGAAATGTAAACTTTGACGCATTGTGCAGTATATGAAAGAGCTTTTGACACTCCACAGGATACTGTTCACTTTTTTGGGTCAGGGGGACTTGGCGCAGTTCTTTAAGGAACTACGAAACCAGCGGAGTAACACTGACAACTCTGAGCAAACTTCAAATATTCCTATTTCCAATATAGTAATAATGTACAGGGTTGTTTAAATATATTGATGGCTGTCGTTGTTTACTTGTTGAACTACTCTATGGTTAATAAAATTCATAATGAACGAATCTTAAAATTGCCATTCTGTAACACGTCTTACACGAATCACTTACACTGAACCATCAAATAACAATAAATGAGGAACGAATTCTTTCTGAGGTTTTTTTTACCTTTTTTTTCCGATATTTTTTATATAACGTTATTTTTTTTCAAGTCTTACTCAGGTTATTGGCTCAGTTGAATTTAGGCACCAGTCATTCTTTCGCAGGAGGGGTCGGGGGGGGGGGCGCTCAGAGGTTTAAAATTTGTCTGATCCTCCCCTAAGGCTCTGTACTTTTGTGATGGTTCTCCCTCATGGGTACGGTTCGTTTGTCATGGTGCTCCCCTTATACTCTGTTAGCGACGACTGACTGATCCCTCTTCCGTTTCTCCTTAGTGACCCCCCCCTTAAAAAAAAAAAAAAAAAAGGAAATAATACTTCAAACATCATCGGAGGCTTTGAACTATGATTGGTCCCTTAGTTGTAATTAATTATTTTCTTTATCTTAATGTGATTGGTTAATTTTGTCCCAGACCTTTCATTCTATTGGTGTGTTCGTTTCATCCCTGTTGGTTTAACTTTACTATTACACCTTAACCTGCGGCGATTTGGATCGCGTGAGGGCTATATCAAAACCAGATTGAATTTTAGTGCTTATTAATATGAAAAATGTTCTGATAGTGCATACGCCCACGACTGTTTGCCACAAAACCTAAATCACGCGGCAGTTCTTACGGTTTTTACCAATCGGAAATAACACGTTCTAGACCATATGGGCCCAGTTGTTCGAAGGCCGATTAGCGCTGAACTGCGGTAAAGTTTTAATCTGGGTTCCTTTCTTCCCTTCTTCAAAGGCCTATTTCAGATAATTTCTTCAATTCCTTTTAGAACATTCAGGCATCAAATTATAGGCAAAAATAAATAGACTGAATATTATTTTAAAGCTTTCAGATTTGAGGTCAGATTTCACGCTAACCTGGGTTATCTTAACCTGGTTTTGAACAACTTGGCCCGTGACAATGCCGACTTTACTTGATTATTATCACATTTAGACTCATTGTAGCGCTGTGATAAGTCTGCTGTTACTGTTACTGTAGTCCATGTTAGATGAGTACGTTTCTTTGGTGAAACACCGTTGCTGTTGGCAACGCCAAGAGTAAGGAACAAAACAAATAAACAAACATGGAAGCAAACAGGCAATTCCTACATTATAGAAACTTTCTACTGAAAATGTAAAAATGAATCATGATTGTAAAAGTCTGGAAGATTCCAAATTTAAGATATCGCGAAGTAGGATTTGATTTCTCAATTATATCAATGAAATATGCTATACATCGTGGTTCATCGACTGCAAAAGTGCAATTTACAACTCGATATTCTTTAAGGATATATTCTAGTCGCTTTCGTTTTTCAGTAGTTATTGCAAACTCGATTAGTTAAATTTTCATCAAATTGTAAACAATGAATTGTGGGATTATTAAGTTCGCGGACGCTTATGTGTACGCTTTAGTTTGTCTGAAAGGAGACAAAATATACTTCAGGGCTAAAGGTAGTTGTTTAAGCCGATGATAAATAACTTTACTTATCAAATGCAAAGGCAGCTTACCAATAATAGAGTGTCTTAAGGCTTCTCCCCAAAAAGGTGTTCAACACGGGTTTGACGAGATGACCTAAGGTAAAGAAATGAAAGACGAAATTACCTCGGTTTATGGTATTTTTCACAATTTCAGCCTTCTGTAAACCAAAAAAAGTAAGTTCACGAGCATCTGATGCTGGTAAACATTGTATTCCACGATTGTGACGCAGATTGAGATGCTCAAGCTCCCAAAATCTTTTTTAATTGATGCCAGAAATTCCCACAAAAAGGTTGTCTTTAACACTAAAACAAGTTATGCGTGCGTTGAAAACATCTTACGAGTTAAGACACAAGTGAAATAGATTACTCCAGTACGAGAAATATGCTCACCGTCACAAACAGTAGTGCACTACGACAGGCAACTTCGCAAGCAGTTACTTATAATTGCTATGTGCTGCGTCCGTGACATTACTTGGAGAGCTCGTGTGGGAACACTTTATCATATTACGCACGAATATAATTCCCCACGCGTACAGAATATTCGTAATTTATGCGGGTCACACTTTCCAAAAGCTTGAGTTTGGCGTCAAAAATTAGTTTATCGCAATTTAATAACTATTTCACTGAGACTGCAAACACTACGAGCATTGTTCCAAATAAAAATCGACCACCATGTGGCACAGATTAACCGAATTTGAATTAGAATGATGATTTTTAGGTTTTTTCGTCTTTCCCGACTTGAATAATATGTTTACCAAAACTCGGACTGAAAGCATGTCCCATCTTTGAGACACAATTTTTTTTGTAGGAATTCCTAATTGTAGCGATTTGTCCATGCAGCTGCCACTTTAACAACTTGCTGTTATGTTACTGATTTTCATCGTCGAGTCCACCGATTAGATAGCGATACACTTAAGCAGAAGAGTTCTAATTTTGCAGTGTGGGAGTTTTAAAATCAGTTCTAATTAACAATTTAACGGTTTACCCAACTCACACTAATATCGTAGAAGGAAAGTCAAGTTAAATGCTAACTTACCAGTCCCATTTGCTTGAGTAGGCTCTCCTTACTCCCGCGGGCGTCCTCTCGAATCTTCTGTAGACACTCTACGGAATAACTTCAGTAATAACGTTGAAATAGCGAGAGCCCAATTCAGATAAGCGAATTATTATACTTGTGGAATTTTTTCGTGGTTGTTTTTCAAACAGCCTACTTCAAAATTGGTAAAACAATTTGGAAATTTGACTGTCGCCAATTTAAATTTGGTTACGTTGTAACCGTAAATAAAATTGATTGGTATTGTGGTTAAAAATTTAGCGTCCGTCCCTCGCCTTTAAACCGTGACCCAAACTCGATAAAAGTAGTTTCACGTAATGATTGAGATAGCTTTAATTTAATCTTATGCTATTCTATCTTCATCATTTTGTTGATTATAAAATCAATGGAAAAGTCTTAAATCATTTCTTAACGCAATGAAAGAGAAAATTAAAATCTACACCTGATACACAACCCACAACCGCAATGTTTTGGCAAACTCCACAGGGGTTTCTGGTGTTTATTGCCAGGGAAAATGAGAAAACTAATTTTCCATACCGATGTGCATTTATTAACGTAGCTTCTGTTTACATCAACCCAATTATGAACGCATACGTCTCGAGTTGGAGATTTTCGTGATTTTCCAAGACGTAATACGGATTTTTCATTTCAGTGAGCTTTTAAACCATTTTCATTGGTACAAAGATATTAAGAGAGAATTTGCTCGTTATTTTTCAACTTAATCTCACTGTTATGACTTCCCTTATTAATAACAATGACTTACTGAACAGATGTCCCAATCGTGCAGCGAAGTACTTGCGCGCAGCACACTGAATGTTTCTTAGGGGATCCCACGCATTACTGGTTGCACAAAACTAAATAGACTTCCTTCTTTTTGACGCAAATTATCTGTGTATGTTGAAGCACCTTTGCGTTTTCTTACTGGTGCGTTACTCACTGAATCCCTATATTTTAAACGAGGGATTACCATGGCCTTAGTGGACGTTTTTACCTCTCTCGATTCAGCCGGCTGTCTCCCCAGCTTCTTTCCTTTTAAGCTTAGCTTTGTCCCATTCCTCCAAAGCAACCCACTCTTCCCCCCTCTCCGCCTTGCTTTGTTTGGCCGCCCCCGCTTTGTTTCCTTGCACGGGCTTTTTCTGGGCTTTCATTCGTTTTTCAGTAAGTTTTCTTTTTGATTCCCTGAAAAGACACGAAAATCTTTTCGTGGCTAAACTTAGTTATTTCACGGATGTGGATAAATTTCTCCGACATCTCTAATGTGTTGTCGTTGATTTTTTATTTTTTCATGTTTTTTTAATCAATCAAATTTTCTATGGCTTAAGGCAGCCATTTTCACGGACGAAAAATTTCTCCCATTTCTCAAATGCAACTCTTTTTTTCCGTTCCCGTGTCGTGTTTAGCCGCCTCCGCCTTTTTTTTTTTAACTGTTCTGGGCTTTTTCTATGGCATGCGTTCA